GGGGGTAGCATATATATATATATCTATGTGAAATATGTAAATAAATAGATGGATAGCTAGATAGAGAAAAATAGATCGATGGATAGATAAGGTCCTGACGTCTGCATCGAACCAGGCGATCCAGTCAGGCAGACCGTGCGTACGAGCGATGTACCTGAAAAATTCTCAAGACACGGGGGCCCTGAGAGAGCCCAGGCAAGCCCCAAAACCCCAAACCCCAAACCCCAAGCCCTGAATCCTAAACCCCCAAAAAGCATCGTCAAGCGAATTTGGAGGTACATATTATTGGAGATTCTGTGCGGGCGAACACCAGAACAAAACAAACCGGCAAGCCCCTCTGGCCGTCTCGGAGAGTCAAGTTGCTGGTCAGACGAGAGATAATGATGTTGAAGCAACTGCTCATGGTACCGGCGGCTTGTAGATCTACCGCTTTGCTCAAGCGAATCGACCAAGTATTTTCCCGAAAGACCGGTTCTGGCACAATGCACTTGGCACGGCCCACAATTTCAGAGCAGAGCATTTCGTCCTTCGGCCCAGCATCCACCGCAAGGAACACCGTTGAGTTCCATTCTTTGGGCCAGAAGATCTCCACGGATGTCAAGAAGGGCGAGAGGGCGAACTTGTCCTGCAAGGCGCACTCCGCGGGTCTAGTTGTAGTCCTTGCGCAGTAACTTACGATCCCCCAGTGATCAGACTCAAACGAGCTCTGAGCAATCCCCAAACCTTGCCTAAACCCTATAACTCTAAAACCCCTAAACTTTGGGGTTTAGGGTTTAGGGCTTTGCCCAAACCCTACACTCTAAACCTTAAATTTTGGGGGTTTAGGGCTTTATTAAACTCTAAACCCTAAGCCGTGCACCTTGTGGTAGGTCTGCAGGAAGATGTGGATGGACATGGGAGGCCCACTCCCAGGCACACTGGGAAGGCCAGGGACTGCTACCGGAGGTAGCGGGCCTCAGGCAAAACGCCTTGCCTCTGGCTACGTTTACCAGTTGTTAGTAGGGAACTGAGGAGTTGATCCCCATTATACATCCTCCAAATGATTTGTAGTTTTCACTTGCTTGTCCATCATTTTCCTCATTCCCTACTAGCTTTCAGCAAGTGAGGCGTGGTGTCCTGAATCAATGATCACCAAATCTGGAAATTCCTTTTCAATTGACGTGGACGGATGCGGACCCCAAATAGTAGTCCACAAACACCCCAAGACAGCAAAGGAGACTCCAGCCCCTTTGATGGTCCGCAGGATGGCGATGAAAGCGCGACTTGAAACCCCAAATGGGGGGGTTCTCAAATTGGTCGTTCCTTATTTTGGGTGCCTAGGATAATTTGGTCCTGAATCTTGGGGGTGCCCATAATGGGGACAACAATGCTAGCAACCCCCAAATGTCACCACGCTCCAGCCCGCAGCTCCAGAACCCGCAACAACACGGAAGACAGCTACAGGGGTCGTAGCATCCAGTCCGGGTTGCAACAGTAAATACAGTTTACGAAGATCACCTCCAGAACCCTTTCTATTATGTTAAAACGTTGAACCAAACCTACACCCTACAACCTAAACCCTAAACCCTATAAACCCTATAAACCCTATAAACCCTACAAACCCTATAAACCCTAAAAACCCGATAAACCCCATAAACCCTATAAACCCCATAGACCCTATAAACCCTAAACCGCTAAGCTTCATTCCTGAGCCCTAAAGCTGACTGAGCACATTCATTCCTCTCCTTAAGGGTCCAGGGACCCAAATAGTAGGGTCGCTTTAAGGGGGTTATAGCGGGATATATCGGGACTATAAAAGGGTCCAGGGACCCAAATGATAGGGTTTTTAGGGGCCGTACGATAATACCCCAATATTTGAATCCTTGGACCCTTATAGGGTTTTACCATCAAGACAGAAACCCGGGTTTAAGGTTTCGAGTTTAGGGCGGAATGAAGGCGCAATGGAAAAGGGATACCATGATCTACAAAATATCCATATTTGGTGATTACATTGGTTTCGGCATCCACCAGTAAAAGTAGTAGATCTAGGAATATATGTAGCGAGCCCTCGATGATTACCGCGGTAAACAGTGGGTCCTCCGAGAATTGAACAGCAGAAACCCTAAACCATAAAACCTAAAACCTAAACCCCAAATCCTAAAACCCCATATCCTAAGCCTTGAGCCCTAGACCCTGAACAGTAGGTCAGCGGCGTGCCAGCCCAGGATCTCATCGGCAAAAAATACAGCCGTCCCCTAAACAGCCTAAATACTAAACCCCCAAATAAGACCTATAGTCCCCCTTAAGTAGATAGAATATGGGGTATCTGGGGATGTTATTATACCCTAAACCATATTCTATCTACTTCAGGGGAACTATAGACTCCCAAACCCCACTTCCTCATCTTCGGCAAGGGGCCCCCTCCTCAACTCTAAAGAACACTTTCAATTTCGTTTCCATATAATACCCATAGAGACCCCTATATACAGATATACCCTATCATAGCATTGCACTTTCCATCTTCTCTTCCATCATCCCTTCTTAGAACCACAAACTCTACTAAGGAGTCTATGACATCGCCAAGGTTCAGCCTCGGGTCCCGAGGAGAAGCACCACGCACGCCGTTGCTCCGAAACGCGCGCGTAACAGCAAAGCTGGGGCAGGTAACCACCACCCCAAAATGAAGACACACTCCTGAGAGGAAATGGCTGAGCATCTTCCTCAACCCTTAACCCTACATATTCCCAATAAACCTTAGTGTCCATTTCATCGTCCATTTGTTTTTCCCTGTGATTTTCCGTACGTGGGATGTTTTGCAAACCATAGACCCTATATGTTAGGACATTGAGCTGAGGCGCAGGTCGGCCTCAAAAGCTTCCTGATAGATGTAGGTTCCAAGGGTCCAGAAATTCATAGGCGGGCGATGGAGCGCATCAACCTCAGCCCATAAAGGGACCATAGTTACACAAACTCCTGCATTTAGGACCCTATTCTAGGGTTTATAGGGCTTAGGGTTTCTAGTCATATGATAGCTATGAAGTCACTAGTATGGGGGTTGGGGTTACTAAAGCCCTCCTACTGTTAGACGAGAGCATGATGTTGCTGAAGATGAGACAACGTGGCCAGCTTGGAGAATTCAGTCCGTAGACCCTAAACAGTGTAATCGAAAATGATTCGTATTTCTTCTATGACTTATCATGATTGTTTGGCAGTTTCCCCAAAAAGGGTACCTCATAATGACCCCCAAATGCTATATTCCTTATTATTGCGACCCTCAAAAAGGTACCCCTATTTTTGGGAACCCTTCATTTTGATTTTGCTGCAGCTCCTTCGCTACAAGCTTTGTTTGCCCGCTTTGTGGCTGCAATTCCCGAGCTGCCGATCAGACGTGGCCGGTTCTGCTGTAATTCCCTAATTTAGGTTGCTATTAAGAAACTTCATCTAAGTTACCATACTGGGTATATATATATATCGCACTTATAGGGTTTCCCCAATATAGTAACTTAACGTCCGTTCCTTAACAACCACCCAGTAATTGCAAGGCTAATTTGCAAATTTAAAATTCCGTCGGTTTCTCCAATTGCAAGCAGTGCCTAGACCCTGAGCCCTAAACCCTAAACCTTAAATCCCAAACATGTATTTTGCAAATCTATTTGAAACTCACATCTACTCTGCGAGCCCTCCTTTGGGCTCTATCTGCGCTTCAGCAAGCCTCCAGTTTCCTGTGCCCCTGGGTTTTGAAAATATTGGTGTTTAAGGACTAATGGAAAAGAAAGTGGAAACTACTATTTAAAGCTTAGAGTTTAGTGTTCGGGGTCTGTTGGAATTCTCGGTGTCTAGAAGCCTCTTAAACTTAGAAGGGTCGGAAGACCTGCTCTTCAGTACTGCGCACACTAAGTGCCTAACTGAAGCAATGCTTGAAATAGTACCCGGTCCATAGATACTATTCTTATAGTTACTAGTATAATTTCTACTTCTTTTACCAGTATGGGTTTCATTTCATCTTCCACTTTCCCTTTGATTCTCCATTGTGAGTCATATGCCGGCTTCTTTCAGTGTCGCACCATCACTTGCTCAACGCGGAGTGTTGGTCAACACATGCGCGCCTTCGTGCCGAGGTCGGCTGGGAAAAAGACTGGCTCGAGCGGACGCACGATGGAGCGATCCAACAGCAGCTGCTCTTCCACCCGTCGCGGGTCCTCCCAAGATCTGCGACCCAGGCGGGTTCTGTATATTTTATCATAATCGCTACATATTACCATGTATTGCTATATATCACTGTCCATTTCTATGTACTAGTCTCTATTACTATATAGTACAGTATGTATCACTGTATATTGCGATGGTACTATTGCTATTACACTTTAGCAGTCCTCTGCAAATTCCGAGAAAACTGCCGCAAAGCTCTGGCAATGGCTGAAGAAGAATTGCCTGACAAGTGTTTACACCCCAATGGTGCATCAGGGTAAATAGGCCAATATAAGGATTATATAGGGGTTATGGAAGGATTGCATAGGGTTAAGGACGATTTCCGTCTTTGATGGAACGTCAAATGGAAAAGAACATGGGAAATCAAGTGAACACCCTAGATCCATTTGACAGGGTATGTCGGGATACATAGGGACATAACCCATATAATGGAGAATCAAGTGGAAAAGACAATTGAGTTGTGGCCTGAACCCTTTGAACCCTTTGTTCTTAT